TTTCTTAAAGGATAATCAAAACAATCAAGTGTGTAAAATAGAAAGTGAAGGCATCCTTGCATGGTTAAAGTTTGATAATGTAGCATTTTAGATTTTTACTGCATATATATTTATATATAATTTTAAAATGATTCATGCTGTACATGTTACTCTGCAACCTGCATGTTTTTCCCCCACTCGACAGTATTTCACGGACATCTTTTTGTGTCAGTTCGTAGAGTACTGCCATGTCCTTTTTAGCAGCTATGTGGTATTTCCTGGTGAGGATGTGGGATCATGTATTTCAGAGGCCCAATTGATGGATACTTGGATGGTCTTTCAGAAGTTGAATAGATGTTCACAAGCAGGACAGGAAGGGACAAGAGACAACCAGGACTGAGCTACTGAGATGGAAATGGGCTGGAGAGTAGCCTGTGCTTCTGGATATCCAAGTTTAACATTAAGTAGAGCAAGTGGAAGTGAGGCTGATCGATGACAGCCTGCACAGACTGCTCGTGGAAGTTTGGATGTTTTTCTGAAGGTGATGACAGTGAAGGGCGGGGACACTGAAGGGTTTTGATGGAGAATCAAAGTGATTGGATTTGGATTTTTCCAAGATTACTAGGACAGATATGGGTGGATGGCATTGAGAAACTGAAGGCAAAGAAAGGCCCACTGAGGAAACTGTTCCACTAGTCTGGGCCAGAGAGGGTGAGGGAGCCGAATTTACAGGGCAGTGTCATGGGCACTGAGAGGAGAGTGTGGATTCAGGGCATATCTGGGTTGGTGTTGATGACATGTGGAGAATGTTTGTGGGAAGGAGGGAGAAGTAGGGAATCTGACATCTGACACCTGGCCCAGGAGACTGGCCGAATGATGCTGTGGTAACCAAGATGGCACACAGAGAGGAAAGGGCACTTTAGACAGAAGCTGGTGAGTTCAGTTTTGCCCCCCCTTTCCTTTGCTTTGTCTTCCTCCTATAACACCTGATTAAAGGAGGAAGCCATCCTCACCGGCACTTACAACACACCCAAACTACCCCAGATGAATCCCAGTGTTAACGATTTGACCAGCACCCCTAGGGGTACTGAGGGCAAATTCAGCTTTAGATATATGACTCTATGTTATTTAAACCTTAAATTTTCTTCCCTCACTTGTATTTAAAGGACAAATGCTACTCCCCAGCGATTAGATGCACACATACTTGCAGTTTCAAAGTTTGAGGTACTGGCAGATCAAGACAAAAGCTTCTCCATGTGGCAGGGTGAGAGGAGGTCTTCGGAATTCTTGGCCTAAGTGGTCACAGGGGCACCAGGAGCCCAGGACCACTTGGCTAGTTTCAGGCCAGCTGGGGCAGGCAGGAAGGAACACGCTAGTATTTGCTCAGTTACAATCAACGACTCCTTCTTTGTGTAAAATGGTAATAAGGCCATTAGGAGAGGCTCACCTGAAGTGCAGCGTTGTGAATCCAAGGTAATTAAACACCTCCCGAATGAAAGAGAAAGGCCAGGGAAGGTTAAGTGAGGAATAATCTGCGGCACAGGTGGCCCAAGGCCTTTGAGGAGCCAGAAGGAGAGCGACAGCGGCTTGTACCATTTCAAAGGATGGAAATGTCACTGTAGTCCCTGGGAGGGGCAGGATTTTTATTTTTATTTTGGGGGCAGGGGCAGGGAGTGGGTAGTATTTTTAGCATGTTAATAGAGCATGCTTCTTTTTCGTACTTCTCTTTGGAGGCGGAAGTCCACGGCAGAGTCAGCCTAGGTGCTGAATAGCCTGCATTGCTCCTCAGGGGCTCTCACCACTGTGGGGCTGGGGCTCATGTGTCCCTGATAAGGGAAGGTCATAATAAACCAGTTGTAGATACCCGGATGTTGAGATAGACTTCAAACTGCTTCCAAATGAAGATTGTTTTCCATGGTCCCCTCTTGGAGTAGAGGTGGGCTAACTACTACCCCCTCAGTGTATGTTCCCAAGGCTTTTTACTTCTTTTTTTTTTTTTTTTTTTTTTGAGACAGGGTCTTGCTCTGTCACCTAGGCTGGAGTGCTACGGTGCAGTCATAGCTCATTGCAACCTTGAACTCCTGGGCTCAAGCAGTCCTCCCACCTCAGCCTTCTAAGTAGCTGAGACTACAGGCATGTGCCACCATGGCTGGCTAAAATATTTTTGTATTTTTTTTATAGAGATGGGATCTCACTGTGTTGCCCAAGCTGGTTTTGAACTCCTGGCTTCAAGCGGTCCTCCTGCCTCAGCTTCCCAAAGTGCTGGGCACGTCCCCTTGGCTTCTAACTTATCAGAGGAGGGTATCAGTCCCATCTTCACTCAGTTTAGCATCCAAACATGAGGCATGCCCTTTATCAATAGCAAAGGATTTTTTTCCTATAAACAGTTCACATTTATGAATGGCTTCCTATACACTGAGCACTGCTTGGTGACTTTGTGTATCCTTCCAGCTTGTCTTCATTGCATAAGGTCTGGTGGAGGATTTTTGCTTTTCAGATTGTTACCTCGAAATTTCTGTTGTCTCCACACAAAAACTTGTACGTGAATCTTCATAGCAGCATTATTCATAGCAGCATTATTCATAGCAGCCAAGAAGTAGAAACAGCCCAAATGTCCATCTGCTGATGAACAGATTGATAAAATGTGGTCTCTCCATACAGTGGAATATTATTTAGCCATAAAAAGTATGAAGTCTTGACACATACTACAACATGGACGATCCTTGTTCATAAAGCAGTGTGCTAAGGGAAATAATCTGATGGCAAAATACTACCTATTGTTAATTCCATTTATATGAAATGTCCAGAGTAGGCAAACCTGTAGAGACAGAAGGAAGGTAAGTGGTTGCTTGGGTCTGGTGTGGGGTTGAAATTGGTAGGGAATGGGGAGTGACAGCTAATGAGTATGAAGTTTCTTTCGGGGATGATAAAAAATGTTCTGGAGTTAGTAGTGATGGTTGTACAGTCTTGTGACTATACTAAAAACCACCAAAGTGTGTACTTTAAATGAATGAGTTTTATATGTGAACTATGTCTCAATAAGCTATTAAAAATTTTTCCTCTTAGAAGCTTGGGAACAAGACATAATGTGCATGGATCATTTCTAAAGTCTGTGTAGTCCTTCCCGGATCAGATTTTTTTCCCCCAGACTTCTCAGCAAGTGATTCTTAATATTTCTAGGGTCACAGGCACCTGTAAGATTCTGGGGAAAGCTATGGATCCTCTACCCAGAAAAATAATCTTGACTCATTCATATTAAAAATCTGTAAAAGATTCATGGATCACCTAAATCTAATTTTCTATTGTATCCTAAGTTTTTTATTTAAATAATGTCCTACCAGTAGCTGGTCTCTTACAGAATTAGTTTCCATGAAATGTGCTCTCGATATGTTACCTGAATGCTTAAAACCAATCATTAGTTTTCTGTTTCTCTCTCAAGACGAAGGAAAAAAATCCCTTCAGACCCCTGCCTTTCTCTCCAGCCTCATTTCAAGCCATATTCCCCTCATTTTCTCCACTGAGGCCGGGGTTCTTTCTGTTCCCTGAACTCTTCTGCACTGCAGGGCCTTTGCACGCCACTCCCCATACTTAGCATGTGGTGCTCTCCCCTCTTTGCTGAGTTAACCACCCTCACCCATCCTTCAGATCTTAGTGCAAGCCTGTTGCCCTCCAGGAAGCCTTCCTTGACCCCCTAGACAAGCTCTATTATAGGCTTGTCACAGTAGCAATGCCACATGCATTCCTGTTTTTCTCACTAGAATGTCAGCTGAATGAGGGCAAGACCCCTAGGTAGTTTCATTGTATCCCTTGTATTCCCAACGCCCAACATAGTCCTAGGTACATAGGAAATAATAAATACTTGTTGAGTGAATGAATAACTCGAGGTCACCACGTTGCACAGTTCCAGGGGCTCCTCTTATGTGGAACGCAGTATGAAAGGTGTGCTGTGAAGCGTGGCACCTTGAGATGAATGAAACGCGTGTTAGAAATAGTCCAGGAAGCTTGATGTTGAGGGCAGCAGCCACCATGTCACACAGTCTTTCCTACATTGTTTTTTATGTCTCACTTTCAGGAGAATCTTTATTCATTTGACCAACGGGTTTGTTTGTAGTACATGGACCTGTGAAATCTCACAGCCTTCATATTTCCCTCTTTGCTTTGGCTACTGGGAGACTTTTAAGTCAAATTCAAGCCCATTTCTACCCACCATATAAGACCCGATGGCTTACATTTATATAGCAAATCTATTACCTGCTTCTTTGCCCATTATCATCATTTCCAAATATTTTGTTTTAACGTCTTGAGTATGTGTCTGTTAGTATAAGCTGCCACACTTCCTTTAGAGTATTATGTGTGAGAAATATAAATAAGCCTTTATTCTAACATTTGTAAGTAGCTTTAAGAGGGTATAGAATAGGAACTGAAAGTCTGAGTTTGGGCTCAGACTACAAGACTTTGATTGGAATGTGGCCATGTCTTGAGTTTGTTCCTAGGTATGTAGCCTAGCCTCCCTGAGGCTGTTTTACCCTTGTAAGATGGGAACATTAATCCCTTCCTCACCGGATTGTTAAATTAACTAAATTGTAAAATGTATGCAAAAGTGCTTACCTGGCATGGAGTAAGTCATTAAAAATGGTTTTTGTTTTTATTAGACATGTTCTAATAGGAACAACATTCATTTAAATTTCAAAAAGATGCCCTAATTCTGAACACTTTTTTCTTTTTTTTTGAGACTGAGTCTCACTCTGTTGCCCAGGCTGGAGTGCAATGGCGTGATCTCGGCTCACTGCAGCCTCCGCCTCCTGGATTCAAGTGATTCTCCTGCCTCAGCATCCCAAGTAGCTGGGATTACAGGCGTGTGCCACCGCACCCGACCTGAACACATTTTTGTCCTTCCAGTAACTGAGGTATCAAACGGATCCTGCCATCCATAGGATCTTCCAGGGCTCCATATATAGTGAACTTAGCCACCCCACTTTGACCCTGTCCTCAACCTGTGTTTTCTTTCTCTCCATCACCAGATCTCTTCCCTGAAGAACAGGCTGAAAAAGGTCTCCACAACCACTGGGGATGGTGTGGCCAGAGCGTTCCTCAAGGCCCAGGCCGCTTTCTTCGGTAGCTACCGAAACGCTTTGAAAATCGAGCCGGTGAGTAGCCGTGGCATGTCACGGAGCCTGTGTTTGGTCAGGGCTGAGAAGCATACCTCAGGGGCCACAAGAAATGCCATGATCCTTCTGGTTTTCGGATTCATCTAGAAGAGCGTGTGTGTGTTTGTGGTGGGGGACAGTGTACTCCCCTTGCCATACCTCTCAGCACAAGGAGGCTGTGCTATCATATGTGAGACCCTGGCTGCTCCAGGGGCTGTTACGCCCTGTGCACCACCCTAGACGGTAAGCCCCGGCCGTGTGTCAGATCCAGCGCCAGGCCCCTCACACTCACCTGCTTCCCCCTGGGGCTTCACAGTGCACCTGTGCAGCAGAGACGATCAGCTCCACTTTACAAATGAGGGAGCCAAAGCTCAGGGAAGAGAAACAACTTAGCCCGGAAAAGCCAGATGGCCCCAGAGCCCCTGCTTTCCCACTGGGCCTCTCCACCCTTGTTCTTTCGAGGGACCGCCCCTCCATGCTTGAGAAAGCAGAGCCTCCTGGGTCTCATGCCTCATGGCTCCTGCGAGGGGTCTTGGTGTAAGTGGTCACAGTGAGGACCGGGAAGTGACCTTGCCCACCTCTGGCCCTTCTCCCTTTCTGGGCCTCGTCGACTCATCCATGTCCCCTGCCTGCCTCATGAGGTGACTCGTGATTGCAAGGATGTGAAGACACCAGGTCTTCTCTGAAACCAAGGACAGTAACAGTCCTCTTAGCTTCGGAGAGAAACTCTTCCTTGCTGTTTCTCTCCTCAGCCTACTCTTGGCCTTCTGGCTGAGGAGAATGCAGGAATTGGCCTAGGGACCTGGGTCACCCTGTAGAGGGGAGAATGTTGGAGGGAAACCCTGCTGACAGGTCTGTTCTCCCAGGAGCACAGGGCTGCCTTCGTCTCGAGCGGGTGAGTGACACTGTCACACCCAGCCTCGTCGGAGTCGGAATTGGAGTCGGAATTGGAGTCGGATGTGAGGGACACTGGCTGCACTGCCCATAGGCCAGGGCTGTTTGTTTCTATTTTTACTTTAACCTGTAGCATTTAATTAGATCAAATGACAAAAGTTCAGGGGATGTGAGGCAATGTATTCTCTGGAGAAATTCTGAGCATGAGCAGGGATCACACTTCCTCATAAGCCGCAATTACACATTGGTAAGTGTCTTTACTGCTCTGACTTTGTCATGTATTCAAGGAAAACACAAAGAATAACAGCAAACACCTTGTTTCCCCGTCATCCAGGACCTGCTGTCTGTGAGGTGGCCAGGGCCGTGGGTGCTCAGGAAGTAGCATCCTAACCCCACCCTCCTGCTCCTTTTTATCCGTCTGGCACTCAGGCCTTACTCTCTAGGCTGCCTGAGCTTTGGACAGTGTCATCGTCACTGTGTGCTCACATAGCAGAAGGGGTGCACTCTCTTTTTGCTTCCTGAGATGTATTTCCCTTAGATTTTTCAAAAGCCCTTCAGCTTAAAGCCAGTTCTTGATAGTGTCCTGCTAGTGTCAGAGTGACGTGGCTCTGATTACTTGTCACGATCTTGGTCCAGCCAAACCAATCAGGGTCAAAGCAGTGACAGCTGGCACAATTCAAGGACAATACTGTTGTCTTCCCCCGTTTAAAATGGGAATGAATAGGACAACTGGCCCAATCCTTTGCTTGGGTTGCTGGGAACGGACAGACTTGAAGTATTTTCACTCTTGCAATGATCTCATTGTTGGCATGTGTGCATCTGGAATCCAAAGGCAGCTGAAGCTCGGGGCATATTGCTGCTGCAGGATCTGGGCACAGGCTGCTCCACGGGAGGAGTTTATCGTCGTACTTGCACATGGCGCTGGAAGACACTGGATTTAAGGACAGAAGCCCTGGAGTTTCAAGCCTGGCTCTGCACTTCTTAGCCGTCTAAAAGTTGAGCAAGCCACTTAATCCATTTAAACTTCAGTTTCTTCACCTGTGAAATGAGGCTAAGCCTCTGCCTGTCCTTCCTGAGGATCCATTGAGCCATAACACATTTCATCAGGAAGGTGAAACTTGAACTGGGTCTGATGAGTAAGGTTTGGAAAAAGAGAAAGGAGCGTCCCTTCCTAGAGTGGGGGTGGAGGTAACTGGGGAAGCAAAGGCTTGGAGGCAGGTTCCCTCATAGCCAGTGAGTGGACCATTTTGTTTGGAGCGACTGGTTGGGGAGATGGGGCTGCAGGAGAGGATAGAGCCAAATTTGGCAGAGCCTTGGATGGTACGCTAAGAGAGTGAACTTGACCCTGTGAGGAGTGTAAGTTTCTGAGCAGAAAGGTGACATGACTGAAGTTACCTTTGAGCAGTAGTATAGTGATGGGCTGAAAGGAGAGCTGGAGGCAGAGAAACCAGTTAGAGGAGTGTTATGGGAACTCAGAATAGAGCCCTGGGGTAGCTCAACCAGAAACAGAGACCATGAAAGAAGTAGCAAGATTCAGCAATAGATCAAATATGGGAGATGAACAGCAAGAAGTGTCAAAATGTCTCCCAAGATTTGGAGCCTAGGAGAGGATGAAGACACCCCTTGAAGACAAAGGGAATGCTTAATAGCAGGGTGTTCACAGTAGCAGCATTCCCAATGGTGAAACACTGGAGTATACTGAGTATCCATATTAGGTAACTGGTGAAATAAATTAAAGTCCATCTTATGATAGAATATTATGTAGCCATTAAAACTATCACCTTAGAGATAACATGATGGGTTTAGATGGAGACATGGCACTTGTCCTTGAATGTAAGCTGCTATTCAGTCATAAGATATATTATTAGTTTATGTACCATTAAGAAAGGGAAAAGAGTGGTGCCAATTATAACTGAAGGATGCCACCGATTATAAGACACATCCAGATTTCAGAAATGTTACAATGGGAAGTAATTTTCATCTTAGAATCAATGAAATATGGCAGACCTGTCAGCCTTTCAGTCCCATTCATCTGTCCTACAATGGCTTTCTTCCGTAAGGTGGAGAAGGAAACCAGAAGACCTGGAATTTTCCAAACAAGCTTCAAGCCAAGGTCATCACCAAGTCACCTAGATGGTTTTTAAACTGTAGATTTAATTTTGGCAAATTCTCCCCTTCTAAAATATGAGGTGACAACATTCCCCAGGTAAGATTGCTTGGGGCAGCCAGGCATGGTGGTACGTTCAAGACCAACCTGGGCAATATACAGAGACCCCATCTCCACAAAAAATAAATTAGCTGGATGTGGTATCACGTGCCTGTGGTCACAGCTACTTGGGAGGCTGAAACAGGAGGATTGCTTCAGCCCAGGAGTTCAAGGCTGCAGTGAGCCAAGATGGTGTCACTGCATTCCAGCCGGGGCAACAGAGTGAGAACCTGTCTCTTAAAAATGTTTAGGGGATTAGTTTAAAATAATGACTGCAAAGTACATGTGAGCCCGAGAAATAGGGAGGAGGCATTGGCTGCATCAGTGGGGAGAATGGTGCCTTGAGTGAGCCTGCCAGGGTGCATGCAACACAGTGCTGACTCCCTCCCCACGGCCGCTTGTCTTTCAGTTGTTTCTCTGGTTATAAAAATAGGACCTGCTCTTTGTAGGCTGGACGCGGTGGCTCACACCTGTAATCCCAACACTTTGGGAGGCCAAGGCAGGTGGATCACAAGGTCAAGAGATCGAGAACATCCTGGCCAACATGGTGAAACGCCATCTCTATTAAAAATACAAAAATGAGTTGGGCATGGTGGCGCGTGCCTGTAGTCCCAGCTACTCAGTAGGCTGAGGCAGGAGAATCACTTGAGCCCGGGAGGCAGAGGTTGCAGTGAGCCAAGATCGTGCCACTTTATTCCAGCCTGGTGACAGAGCAAGACTCGGTCTCAAAAAAAAAAAAAAAAAAAAGAACACTTGTTCTTTGTAAAAAAATGTTCGAAGTAACAGGACTAGAAATGAGAAAGCGCCACCCATAATCCTATTGTCACGAGGTAGGTGAGATACAGCTGTGGCAGGTTCCCATCTAGGTTCTAGGATTTTTCGTTTCTTTTGTTTTTCCATTTTGGGGTTTCGGTTTTTTAACTTTCTTGTAGGCAGATGAGATATGCCCTGAGAAAGCAATCCAGTATCCTAGTTATTAATAATTTTTTTTGCCTTTTAGTTTGTGTAAGCATTTTTCATACCACATAGAATCTCTTCTTAGACATCATTGACAGTGGCTGAGCAGAGCCTATCAGGTGACCCTTGTGGTTACCAACCCTGGCCATGGATTAGAAGCATAGGGGAACGAGGAGTGGGGGTGGGGGGGGTGCTTTTAAAAAGGCAAATGTCCAGGCCCTCCTCAGAGATTTCTGTCGAGTTCCTGTGATCTGAAATCAGAACCAAGGCCCACCATGCTTTCCTAGTGCTAGTCTTGTAAAAAAGAAATTATTTTACTATTTTTTTATTATTATTATTTTGAGACAGGGTCTCACTCTGTTGCCTAGGCTAGAGTGGCATGATCATGGCTCATGGCAGCCTCAACCTCCTCGCTGAAGTGATCCTCCCACATCAGCCTCCCATCTAGCTGGGACTACAGGTGCATGCCACTGAACTCAGCTAATTTATTTTTAATTTTTGTAGAGACAAGGTCTTGCTATGTTGCCCAGCTGGTCTCCACCTCCTGGGCTTGAGTGATCCTCAGCCTCAGACTCCCAGACTGTTGAGATTACAGGCATGAGCCACCATGCCCGGCATGCTGGCTTTTTTGATTGTCAGTAATGTTTCATGATTTTAAACCACACTGTGCTAAACATCTTTATATATATATCTTCATACATGGTTTGAATTATTTTCTTAGGCAGTTTCCTTGACATGAATTTACTGGGTCAACGGATGTGAGTCCATTTAAAGCCTTTGGCACATAAGGTGAGGGAGAAAGCTGGTGAGCAGACACAGGGGAATGTCTGCAGGGAATGGCCCCTGAGGTGGGTGCCAGGGCAGGGCCTGAGAACAGTAGGTCCCTGAGGGCAGAGGGAGCCTGCAGGGTAGAAGGCCAGGTATGTGGGGGCCACACAGGGCA